CCTCAGTCACCATGGCTAATAGCCACTGATCGTTCTATCCTCCCTGAATCTATCCAATCCCCTTTGGAAGCTGTCTATTTCTGTGGCCATCGCTGCATCCTCTGGCAGCGAACCCCACATTTTAATCACTCTCTGTGTACAGAAATGAGTATGAGAGAAGGGGATGCCTCTTTCAAGACATTGTCCGCTACTCATGATTTTTTGGGGGGTAAGTTTGGTATCACAAACAATTCCTTCAAAGAACACATCTCTGCTGCCAGATTAATCAGGAACACCTTAGTAGTCAGTTCCCCCCAAATGCTCCAACCTACCACCTGCACTGTACTTCCATTTAATTAGCTGGTGGCCCCCCCCAAGGCCCCCTCACAAAGAATTCCCTAGCTACGGGGCTGTCAGGAACACCTTAGTAGTCAATGGGTTGGATCCAGCCAGCTCTTTCATTCGGTCTTGCCCAGGTCTCCTCCTTATTACACCCCCTGTCACACACAGGGCTTCTCTTCTCGAGAGCCAAAAGGGACCCCTTCCTTCCTTATTCCCCCTGGCAGAGACACTGTCTGGAATCAGTGTTCCCTCTAAGCTGAGTTCGTGTGAGCTAGCTCACAGTTCTTTAGCCTCCGGCTCACACATTTTTGTCTTAGCTCAGGAAGGATGGCTCCAGTGCGGCTCCAGTGCAGACTAATTTATGCAGCAGCCAAATCACCTGCTCACAACTTTAATACCAATAGCTCACAAAGTAGAATTTTTGCTCACAGGGCGCCACAGCTTAGAGGGAACATTGGTCTGGATCCAACCCAATCAGTTTTAAATTATTCTTCTACTTGATAAATTTTCTAAAAAGTTCCAGCTTTTAAAAAAAGGCCTGCTTCACACAAGGAGGGCGTAGAGGGAATATTGGTCTGGATCCAACCCAATCAGTTTTAATTTATTCTTCTACTTGATAAATTGGCTAAAAAGTTCCAGCTTTTTAAAAAGGCCTGCTTCGCACAAGCAGGGCAATGAAATGGTAGGATGGTGAGGCAGGGGAATGGACTGCCCCACTTCAGACTCCAGGGAGAGGAGTAAAAACTCCCTGCAAGTAGAAAATCAGCACAGAGTGCAAAGAGAGGGGGAGAACCATTCTCCTGGTTGCACTAGCTTTCTATATGTGGGAAGATTCTCCCCCCCCCCAATGTGTGCAAGTAGAAAATCAGCACAGAGTGCAAAGAGAGGGGGAGAACCATTCTCCGGGTTGCACTAGCTTTCTATATGTGGGAAGAATCTCTCCCCCCCCCCCATGTGAATGAACATTCAAAGGTGGGACACACACACCCCACCTACACTCTGAAGTGGTACAGTCCATCGTACTACCTCAGGGGCTTTGCCCCTTCGCTGTGATTTTGTTCTGCTGCATGTGTGAACCAGCCCCTCGCGTGTTTTGAGCGTACCCTTGAAAATGTGGAGCTTGAACAGCAAGGTGTGGGGAGGTCAAACCAGCGCTTACAAACACCTGTGGTTTAGTCCTTAGGCGGTCGGGACTGGCCTGATCCCTGTGGTACCCCACTGCTTACACCCCTCCACTGGGAGAACTGCCCATTTATACTCACTCTCTGTTTTCTATTAATTAGCCAGTTTTTGATCCATAAAAGGACTTGTCCTTTTATCCCATGATTTTTGAGCTTGCTTAGGAGCCTTTGATGAGGAACTTTATCAAAAGCTTTCTGGAAGTCAAGGTAAATAATATCTATTGGATCCCCCTTGTCCACATGTTTGTTCACCCCCTCAAAGAACATTAACAGGTTAGTGAGACAAGATCTTCCCTTACAGAACCCATGTTGAGTCTGCCTCAATAGGTTTTGTTCATCTATGTGCCTACTAATTCTTTCCTTAATAATGGTTTCCACCAATTTACCCGGTATCGACGTCAGACTGACAGGCCTGTAATTTCCCGGATCTCCTCTGGAACCCTTTTTAAAGATGGGAGTGACATTAGCTACCTTCCAGTCCTCAGGAATGGAGGCTGATTTTAAGGAGAGATTACATATTTTTGTCAGGAGATCCACAAGTTCACAATTGAGTTCTTTCAGAACTCTTGGATGTATGCCATCTGGGCCTGGTGATTTATCAGTTTTTAAGTTGTTTATCAGTTTTAGGACCTCCTCTCTCGTCACCTCAATCTGACTCAGGTCTTTCAACACCCCTCCCGAACTCAGCGGCTCTGGAGTGGGCAAGCACCTCTCATCTTCCACAGTGAAGACGGAGGCAAAAAATGCATTTAGCTTCTCAGCCATTTCCCTATCATCCTTCAGTACTCCTTTTACCTCCTTAGGAGGTCGGGACTGGCTGCCCCGCCACAAAGTAGCAGACCAAGGTTAGCTGTATATAATGTGTGAATCACTGTGTAATTCTCCCTTTTCCCCCCTAGATCCATCCAAGATGGGGGTCAGCCGTGGCTGTTTGCTGTGCGTTAAGGTGAAGATGTTTGTCTTCAACCTTATCTTCTGGGTGAGTCGTAGTGAGGTTATCAGTCTCCCTAGAGTGGCATGAAACCTAGAAGAAAAAGAATCAGAATTCCTATGAGTTGGATCCAGCTGTTTGTCCTGCTAGTGAAAAGTGGAGAAAGGTTTCCACTAACTACCCAAAAAGGCTACAGTGAGGATCATGGGACCCGCACGGACAACAGCCATGTGGCATGGCGGGCTGTAGCAAGGAGGAGAACGGAGTAAGATTTAGCACTAACGCTGGTGGATCTAGCCCTGTGCCCAGGGAATCCACACTCTGAGCCCGATAGCTTAAAGGAGATAAGGAGTGTACTCAGGGCTCTTTTTGTAGAAAAAGCCCAGCAGGAGCTCATTAGCATAATAGGCCACACCCAACAGCAGGAACCCATTAGCATATTGGGCCACACCCCTGACAGCACAGCTCATTAGCACATTAGGCCACACCCCCATGTTACCAGAAGTGTGGTCATCCAGCCACACCCACCTTTTGCTTGTTATTCTGTTTACCTTGTTTGTTGTCAAACCCAGGGCTTTTTTTGTAGCAGGAACTCCTTTGCATGTTAGGCCACACACCCCTAATGTAGCCAATCCTAATGAGTTTCTGCTGTTGGGTGTGGCCTATTATGCTAATGAGTTCCTGCTGGGCGTGGCCAACTCGGGAGCCAGCCGGAACTCCGTTCCTGTGCGTTCCTGCCCAAAAATAGCCCTGAGTGTACTCATGCATTAAAATATGGTCACTGGGATAAGAAGACTGAAAATGGGCTCTTGTCTGTGACACCATCCCCCCCCCCTATTGGCTGAACTGCTGTTGTGTCATGGAATGTTCACAGACACTGCAACTGTGCTGGTAGGGAAGAAGTGCGAGCAACAGAACGTTGTCAGGCAGAGCAGATTCTGTGAGCGAAATGAGAGGTTAGTGTAGTGGGGAGAGAAAAAATTTCCACAGGTCTGAGGACAGTTGGATGAAAGGAATGTCCAGAAAAGGATGCTGAAGAATCTGCCTTGTCTTCTGTTCTCCCCATAGCTAGGTGGTTGTGGGGTGCTCGGCGTGGGAGTCTGGCTGGCTGTCACTCAGGGTCGCTTTGCCACCTTGTCCTTCTCGTTTCCGTCGCTGTCGGCAGCAGGGCTCTTCATGGCCACCGGAGCCATTATCATGGTGGTGGGCTTCCTTGGATGCTTGGGGGCCGTCACGGAACATCGCTGCCTGCTTCTAACGGTAGGAAGAGTGTCTCCCCTGGACCTTACCCTGTGCGTATGTCAGAGAGGTAGAGAGAGAGAGAGGGAGACTCTGATGGGCTGTAGGAAGACGGCAGGGGAACAGAGAGAGAGAGAGAGGGAGACTCCGATGGGCTGTAGGAAGACGGCAGGGGAACGAACGGAGTCTTTATTCTGTTCATGTGTTCGTTAAGACTTTGATCCTACCTCTCACAAAAACTCACATGGATCAAACATAGCTCAATATACAAAATGTTCCTTGGGAAGGCAGGCTCTTTGCTAAGCTGGGTCCAGATACAGTGGGAGATTTCATGGCAGTCTTCTCCCCCAGTGGCCCCATCTATGGCAGGTGGAATCTGGAGGTGAGGGGGGGGTGTCTCTCCACTGGAGCTGGATCCAAGCATGATTGTGGGGGTGGGGCATCTGGATGCTTGGAGCAAGGGAGTGTGCAAAACCTGAAGCAAGGTCCAGCTGTTGAACGATGCATAGCAATAACTCAAGAAGAGTGTTTCTAAGCATGGACAGAGGACAAAATAAGCACACTTGTTGGTATGGAGCACAGAAGCACCTGTCTGAGACCACAAGTGGAATAAATAAGTGTGTTTTGATGTGAATGCAATCTTTGGGGACAGAAAAGTCCATGTGTTTGTGGAATACTTTTTTTAATTCTGTGGTGCGCTGTGGCTTGGCTTGCTTGCTAGAGCGACCAACAGCGGTTTGCACTGGAGCTACCTTTCTGCCATGCACCCCCTCTCTGTGGTTCACATGGCTCTGGGTTGTACAGGTTGGTCTATGGGAGCCTGTGAAGGAACGATGCTCGTACTTGGCACAGGTGACTGTCAGTGCAATCCTAGGCAGCGTTACTCCATTCTAAGCCCATTGCAATCAGTGCCTTAGACTGAAGTAACTCCGCATAGGATTGTTTGTTTGTTTGTTCAACTTTTATCCCACCCTCCTGCCGCGGCTCAGGGCAGCTTACAATATCAATAAAACCAATATACATAAAAACACGAACAATTTATATAAAACAGTTTAACTATAAATACAATAAATATAAACGGCTCAATATATATCTAAACTTCTATATTATATCTAAACTTGAGCTGCGGTGGCTCAAGTGGTTAAGACGCTGAACTGCGGGCTGTGGAAGGTCAGTAGTTCAGCAGTTCGAGACCCGGGTGCCGCATGACGGAGTGAGTTCCCATCTCAAGTTCCAGCTCCTGCCAACCTAGCAGTTCGAAAGCAAGAAATTGCAAGTAGACAAATAGGTACCACTTCAGT